TAATAGCTTCTTGTTACTACTAGTAAGGCACTTGTTACTACTAGCGAGGCACTTGTTTCTAGAGATGAAAAATTGGAGCATCTTTCCCCGGACAGAACTGAACGGAAAATGCACGGTCGAAACCGGAAAATGCAACACCGTGAGCTGCTCGGAATGCTTTGGTCCCATCTTATCTGCTTTGGAATGCTTCTGGCAGAACATATTTTGGGAATTGTCTCAAATACCCGCAACTATACTCCTTACTGGTACAAAAAAGCATGTAATAACTTAATCTTGACGCCAAAAGGCATTCTCTTTACAGACACGGTTTCAGACAGTGTCCAAATGCTACTATATAATACATGATATACGTGCTTGCTTTAGGTGAGTTTTGCACGGTGTGCTTTGCTCAGTGCGTGGTTGAAACATGTTGAAACCATTTTTGTCCACGCGGCGAAGACCGAACGGTTTGGTCGTTGGAATGTCATTGCAGCGGAGAAAGAACATGAAAGAAAGAAAAGGAGAAGAGACATGTCTAAACTGATGGTCTAAAGATGTCTAAAGATTACCTTGCATCACCACCTGCAATGGACGAAAACAAACAAAAACAAGGTCCAACTGTCCGACAATCCACGTTCATCCTTTTCTCGAACCCGATGTCAAACTGGACGAATCCGATTGTCTTCCTTTTCTTTCTGAGTTTGTGCGTTCTGTTTCTGCACCGGTCCTTCTTTTCCGTTTCTCAAAGCAATCCTCTGCTGTCCTTATCTCTGCTTGTTCCTACTTGGGCTTGCATAGTTCTACTTTTTGCTCTCCTTCTCTTCATATGTCCCTATTATTAATGACGTGTCTCGACTTGTTCAAAACTGTTCAATCAAGTTCTGCATTCCTTTGCTTGTCTCAAGTGTCTTGCTTACTCTTTACTCGTCTTGTACTTTACATTTAACCTTGGCTTTTGTTTTATCTCTTTTCCTGGCTGTACTTCACTTCTCTCGCATCCTCTCTGCTGTTACTTACTTGTCTCAACCTTTCCTGACATGCTTTTCTGATTTGCTCTATTTTGCATTACTGGCCTCCACACCTCTCTACTTTCTCTATCATTCTACACTCTTCCTTATTCCAGGTCTCCTTCTCGATTCCTGTTTCCCTGCGAAAAGCAGTCATCACTCCATGCAAGACAATTCGACTGTGGCGTGGCCAGCCCTGCAGCCAACAAAACTTGTACATCTCACTTTGCGTGTGTTGCACAAACTATGTCACAAATCCCTATTATATAATTCATCCAGTCATATCTAGTCTATATGATTGGAGATCTGGATCGTCTCAACATGTCTCAACCCTGACATCGGCGGTATGACGTTGTGCATAGGACGATGAAGCCAGATGAAATGAGAGCATCATGAACACCTGAAGGCCTGAAGGTGTTGGTGATTCACCACGTTTATAGCATCTGAAAGCTGGGCGGAACATGTCAACCCGATGTTGAGACAGATCGTTTTTGATTACACAAATTGTGCATATAACATGATAAAACACTTGGCGACCTCCGACCTCCTTGCCGTTCACGGAGCTAATGGCATAGCCTTCGCGAATCTTCTTCGTCGGATGATCGCAGTTCCATCGCTGCAGAATTCCATTATCCTAAACAGGTGAAACTGAAGGACTTTTTGATGTACTAGGAACAAGAAACTACTAGGGGCTCCTGGCATCGCTACTAGGAGCAAGGACGCTACTAGGGGCTTCTGGCCTTATTACTAGGAACAAGGACGCTACTAGGAGCAAAGAAAGACACGTGACATCAGGTGACTCACCTGACTCATACTTGTATATGAGTCAATGAGTCAATGAGGGAGATCCCCAACCAAAATGATTTGGATTTATTTTCGAACCTTCCATGGGGTCGTTGCCTGGGAGGTCTCCCAATTTCAACACACATAATGCACACGCATATTCCTTCATTGGGCACCTGAAGTGCCAGCTTTCAACTCGGCCTCACAGTTTTACGTCCTGCACAGTGATTCACCTCCAATTCGATGCCAGCAGTCGCCGTGTCAGTTTCGACGATCTCCGACGTGGTCGAAGCTCTCTCAAACGGGTATGTTTCTTCAGCTTAGAAGTGGCCATTTGTTCTACCTGAATCCTGCTTCTTAAGAGAGTCCGAATTCCTCCCTCATCAAACACCAGGGTTCATTTCGCCGAAAACGTGCCTACTTCATTACGAAACCGAAACCGGGTTCCTTGGCAAATGGCCGAGGTACAGCCCACACGGTCCAATCGCAGAAAGGACAATGGGAGAAAGGACTGGAACAATCTCGGATAGCCGCTGGTTGTTCTGCTCAATCGCTGAACCCACAGTGCGTACAAACCATCAAAAACCATTCACCGCTGACCTCGTTGTCAGCAAATTCTGTCAGATTTCTGCCCATCTCCCAAGCATTTATAGCCTGGCGTCCTGCTCTGCATACATGATCAACAAACCATCGCAGCATAAAACCTCCGAGCAGGATTTCTTCATGAAGAAAAAGAAACACATTTACGGACGAACATGTCTTTTCGATATGCTTCTTTCGACTTCCAAGAGCTGCTCCGGGTTCGGTCGCGACGTGAGACACTGATGCCAAGGAAGCTTAACCAGGTCTACCAGTCGGTCTACGACCAGTCGCACAAAATCTGTCTTGAATCCCAGATCTTTGTTTCCAAGGCTGATTGTATTTCCACCACAACGTCACCTCTCTCGGGTTGACACCTAGTTTCCTCACCAATTCTTAGGCGCCCGGGTACGCAAAACGTAAAACGTAAGGTTCCGCACGTGTAATCCAAAACGTGCAGCCCCCTCCCAAAGTCCAGGCCCCATCCAAATACCTGCATTTACTGTCCTCGGGTAAATGTATCTGTGTGGTCTGGAGGTCCACTTTGCGGAAATATGTTCGTCCTCCAAAATAGAAACTAATGACTATGGGCTACTGCTGGACGCTTTTCTCTCACTCTTGGAAATGCATTTGGAAATTGTTTGTGTCCAAGCTATAGGGCTATGTGAAAATGCATTTGGGATGTTTCTGTGTTCTATGGCCTTCTTCTGTTTATGCATGAGGAAGTTCCAAAAACGCATCTGAGCTCCAAAACGTGGGAACGTACGGCTCGAAACGTGAGTTTTAAAACGCAAGGTTCGAACGCACAAAAGGTAAGTAACCAGGCAGCTAAGTCACCAATCAATATGGGGAGCCCATGCTGGTTTTCCAGGGGCACTTCAAACATCATTGAGCAAACCGTTTGAGGTTTTGCTAGTCTTCCCCGAAGGACTTCTGGAATCCACGTTGCAGTAAGCCTAACTACCCTCTACAAAAAAGACTCTAAAGAGTCTAAATCAGCAAATGACCTTTAAACTGTTTCTTTCCGTTCCTTTTTCTGTATCTTTCTTCTTTCGGTGTTCGTTGTCTTCCCGCCCGAGGATAGGGGCCCTGATTGGGGTAGCTAGAATTAAAAACAGAAACCCACCCTATTGTGACCTCTGCTGCAGCACATCACCCCGTGCAATTAAAAAAACACAAATTCTGACACGGACAATACACAATAACTCCAAACATGAGCCCCGATCCAGGGATCCAAGAGTGTCCACCCCTGACACCTTGACCCGGAAGGTCAAGCCACATGCTTTTGGGGCTCTAGGTTTAGACCCATCCCCAGATGATGACAACGCTAAACGCAAAGAAAAACACACCAAACAGCCCACAAATGCTGAAGCCAATGACCCCCGCGTTATCCTACCAGCGTACCTGGGTAGGTGGGGATAGCTCAAAATAACTCTTGTCTTTAGATCTCTAGACCTTATCTTTCTGTTCAATTCTTTGCCTAATCACTGTCTTCTCTTCAAAGTTCCTTGGACTTATTTTTAAAATAGCTTTTCTTCTTTCCTTCTCCTTTTTTGGGCTTTGAAAGGCCGAAAGAGGCTCCTTTTGTTGGCATCGTTTCAAAAAAGAGCCGGTCAAAGCAACGCCAGAGCCAACGCGCCTTCAAGCCGAAGGCTTCGCTGCTCTCGTGGTCGCTTCGCTGAAGCAACACTTCGAAGAAGTCGAAGGTCGGCAGCCGTGCACCAACAGGGCAACACATGGGCGTTGAAACAGGCAGCGAAAAGCACTGCAAAAACGTGTGGCAATGTGTGGAAAAGCCGTCGATGTAGACGTCAAAGTTGAAAACACATGGAGGGGAAAGGACTACTGAGTCCTAGGGGGGCTTTGAAGACTTGAGCTCTGAGGTAGTGCAGCTGTTCTTAAAAAGTTTCAACATGCGGGCGGCCCTGGTTTTTTCCTGCATTGCAGTGTCTGCGGGCATCAGGCTGTGTTTTTGATCCCATGTCATCCAAATTGAATTGACACGAATCGTGAATCGCAGCTTCAAACTTGAGCCCACCGACCGGTGATCGATCAAATGAGTGGACTTAGGCTTCGGTGAGTCGCATGTCTCCCTCGTTCAACATCCGAACTCAACCACGTTACGACAAGGAAATGATCATTACGACAAGCCCTCGTCGGTTGTCTTCGGACAGGCTCGTGAAAAGGAGACGATTCGCACGGGCAAGGCAGTCCACAACGGGGGCCGCGGTCCCTCGACGGCCTTCAAGTCTAAGGAGGCTTGCAAGTATTGCGACAACGGCAGATTCTCAGCGCCCTCCTGCGACAGTCAAGAACCAATGGGGACATTCCAGAATTCCAAACACGCATGGTCTTCATGTGTCTTGGTGAATCTTTGAATGTTCCAGCTGGCTAGGTGCAAGACTTTAGCCGATTCAAACTAGAACTCAGCATGAAGTGCTATGAATGGCTAAGTTTCTCCATGGTCGGGATGGTCAACATTGGAGTATGCAGAGTGCTCTAAATGATCTCAAATGGGATCCTATATCGAGCCTTCTCTCCTTCTCTCTTCCATGGAACAAGTGTCCATTAGCGCCTGGGTCTTCTTTGAACTCTCACCAGCCCTGGGCCTGTTGACGTTTCACCCAACTGCTCCGGGGCACCCGGATTTCTGAATGTCAACATGGCATGTAAACTGCTTTAAACAACTCCACCTCCCAATCAAGTGCCACTGTAGGCGGTGTGACATGACTTCCACATGTTCGAACCACCCGTATTTCTTGCATTCCATGTTCTGCCCCAAACCATTTAAATTACTTATCTTGATTGCGAGACTTTGTTTTCCAACAAACTGGTTTCAATTGCAGCATGACGAGCATCGCACAAGGACAAAGCCAAACTGATGTGGGGGACGTACCAAGTAAGGAAGCAAAAGAACCCTCTTGAGGACGCCTGGTTTGCGTCGCTGAAGAGGCATCTCACGCATTCTTCGGATGCCACTATGTCTTGGTACGCATGGGACCTAAATACCGAATGCAACCTTGGGCACCTCTACCAGGCACGTGCGGCACTGGTACATTCAGTCCATTCAGATCTGTCTAGACTTTCGGGTTCAAAGGTCCAGCCCAGTGGGCCAATAATCGGAGCTCCGAAGGAATGTGCCGCAGCAAGCCGCAGCATGTTTGCTTCACTTCTCTGAGACGTCCTTTCATGTCGCCGCAGTCTCTTGGATTGGGGCGACTCAGACCGCAAACCTCTTGAGATTTGGGCTATCTCAGCCAGCCAGGAGACCTCTTCTCTTCTCTCCGCTTCGAAAACGCCGACACCTGACCGTCTGACCGCTGGTTCGGACACCGTCCTCATACATGGGGTTGGCTTGATCCAGCAAGAGCTGTACCGCACAGTCCGCTGTACTGGCCACGAAGTGTTGAGCCTGAAGGACCGAGGTCTCTGAGAGGCGGAATGGTCACCGAGAAACCCACCGGTCGCTTTTCTGGTGGATGTGTTTAGGAAAAGAATTCCACCATATTCTGTTGAGCTGATCTGCTATCTTTCTTGAGTCACCTGAAATCAACAGTTTCGTTCACTGATCACCTTCATGGTTGTTTCGTGTTCAATGTGTGCATCAAAACACTGAATGCAACACCTCAACAATCTAAATCTGGAGAGACTCCTCCTGCCTTCCCACTCCTTCAGCCTCCAAGTCGTCTGATTTCGCTTCACATTTGGATCCCATAAAACCCCTCAAACTTTGGGTGTGGCAGCATCCGAAACATGAGAACATCCGAACATGTCACTTTCCAAGGTCCCCCTCGTTTTTCTATAAGAGATGGTGATATCTGATCTACAAAACGTCAAGATTTGGGCCAGGCCTTTTCGGATCCTTTCGAAAGCTGCAAGACCACTGAGCTCACTTGACAACAACACCCACGGATGAATCGGGCCCACTGAGCACGGAGCAATGCTCTTGGAGATATCGCTGAAATCCTGGGTGCCCGCGGGAAACCCCGCGGGAGACCGCGGTCTCGTCTCGTGGTCTTCACCAACGACGATGCTTTGGACGGCTCGAGTCTCCGGCAGTCTCTGCGAATGTCGCAGTGGAAGCTCCGCACCTTGTGCACCACCACCTGGTAGCCTTGTGGAAGCTGCCCATCCAAGGTCAACCTCACATGGAGCTTGGAATGGTTTGGACGTAGCCATCGCATGGGTGGCCAAAAGCTGTGATCTTTTTTTTCTCCGTGGTGCTTTGCATGAGAAAAGCTTGCGCTTCTTATATCCAAGTGTTTGCCTGAGCGTCCCCACATGTGCAAATGCAAAGCAATGAGTCATGTAGGCTCCGGAGCTGAGTATTGATGGTTGGTCAGGTAGCCTGTGAACAGTTATACCGTATACAAGTTACTTAAATAACAATAGGATATAATAGGTTATATATGATGCATGGAAGAGGACTTCCTCTCTACAAAACAGCTGGGTCCCTCCGAATCAGGGTGACCAACCGGAAGCAGTTGTGGTTAAACCTCTCATCACGATTTGGGCACCAACATTGGAACAACTGTTAGAACATTGGAACAACTTCAAGAGGCCATGGGGATTCCACTTCGCTTGGGATCGCCCACGACACTGGACTCGACTCGGTAGACGCTTCGGTAGACGCTCGGCCGCCCCACGAGCGGATCCTTTGCACAAAAAGCTCGAGCACCTAGGCGAGAAGGGAGTCAACGAAACATTAAGAGATGACAATGGTGATCAACCTCCTGACAAGATGGTTGGGGTGGGTGCCAGGGAGGTCTAACCACCTTCTGAGGATATGGTTGTTGCCCTAGGGAATTAGGCAGCCTGTGTTTGCTTCTTTTCTTTTCGCCCTCCCTTCCCGCTCTTTTGTGTTGGGATGGCAACGGGACCTGGATGCTCTTGTTGGTCCACTTCCAGTTTCTATGTCCGACTCTGTGTATTATGGCTTACCCAAAAAAGCTGTTAGGAATCGGAATAGGACAATGGCACTGATCTTGACAGACCCGGCCCTGCGCTGATCTACTTGAACATCTTTACTTTGCTGAGCCATACTATACGCATCAAATTGGTAGGGCTGAGCCATGACACTCCACGCCTGTGAGTGCAAGGCAGTTGAACAAGTGCCCAACAGCCAGGGCTACAACTGGGCAATGTGAATCTACTTTTCTATCACCCAAACACTCAGTGTATGCCATATTTATCAGTGCCGATCAGTTGGGGTTGACCTGGAGTCAATGTAGGCAGCATATATACATGGAGTGTCTGTGTCGGTCTTTCAATTTCGGCACTCCTATGCTACCCCACCAGTCTACCCCACCAGGGTCCTCTTGTGAAAATTGTGAGAATATGGACATTTAGGAACAAGAAGCTACTAGGGGCTCCTGGCATCGCTACTAGGAACAAAGACGCTACTAGGGTCTCCTGGCCTTACTACTAGGAGCAAGAAGCTACGAGGAGCTTTTTTCTTATGATACACAACCAAATGAGGCCTGCCATCTCCTCCTTCTTTCTCAGCTTCCGAGCGCTCGCATTGGATGTGACTAAGATATAGCGCTGGCGGCCCTGGTCAGCCTGCCACGCACGAGGTTCGGGTCGACACGGTGGGGGAGGAGCCGGAACATTTGGAAACGCATCTCCAAGCGGAGCTGCCTGATGAAGCAACCATTCACTGCCGAAATATCTAACCTTTTGCTTAAGAGTTCCACTTCTTGCCAAGCAATCACCCGGTCAGAAGCAACATCCAACGACCCTGCATCGATTCTAGGAGCATGTCTCAGGCAGTTCGCACGTGCTCGCGACAGCTCGATGTGCTCTCCCGGCCAGGATGGAGGTGAGCTCCAGGTTCGAGGACCAGTAAAGCCTGGACACCAGTGGCCGAGCGAGGGCTTAGTGGTCGGAGTGTTTGTCAAAGGTGCTGTGGCAAAAGAGTCTGCAAGAGGGCTCCACCGCATCTCCCCAATTGATTTTTTTGTCGGAGCGTCTGGCTGGTGAGACCTGCCATCCCCAAAGTTCGTGGTGATCGGATTAACATGGATTGACATAGAATCCAGTTGTGCTCATGTGGATTTGCGGGCATGTGTCCCCTCTGCGGGTCGCTACTAGCGGGCAGGTTCAAGAGAGTTTTGAGAAGCCCGCACTTTGGTCATGAGAAGCCTGCAGCCGTCCACGGCTGGGACTTGTTGCACTGGAGACACAGTTCTGTTTTGGTTCAGCTAAGTAGCCACACAAACCGCCAAGGAAGGGCCTGAAGGGCACAAGGGCACGATCTGCACTTTTTCAGTACTGGCAGAACAAGAGACCTCCATTTGTGATGGACGGTCCATTAATTTAGACTCTTGATTCATAAGAACCATATAAAACCCCCATATGAAGAGGCTATACAATCCAAATGTATCCAAATGTTGTTTTGGTATGTTTTGGTACTCATCAAGAGTCTACCCCAAACACTTCATGTATAGTACATTAGGGTGGTTGACCTGGGGTCCATATATGCAAATATGATCAAATATGCCTGGAGTGTCTGGGTACATTATGTCTACAACCAAACGTGAAACCGGTTTGTCCAAGCGAGCACACGCAGCGCCTGAAGTCACTGCAGTTCCCACCGGCCGGGCTCAACTCGCCCCACACGCTCGTGGGGAAGACTTCCTGGAGACGGTCGCAAGGGACGTTGAGACGGGTGAAAGCATTCAGGTCAACAAAGGTGAAGTTGTTTAACGAGAAGCCATACTATGACCTGTCAAAACGATTTGGTCCAGTGGATGGGAAGCATCAAATACCATGAGTGGACATGATCATGCCATGTATACCTACATTTTGTATACGTGACTTCTCATGCCCGACCTCGAGGACAGATTCAGCTCACAGGAATGGATTCTTCGAGACGGACCCATGACGACCCATGACGACCCGTTTCAGGCCTTCCTTTTCCACGCCAAAGCGGTCCGTTTCTCGTGCTCCGAGACGGAACGGATTTTCCACAGTCTAGGGGCGGACACTGAAAAACACGCGCGGAGAGGCACTCAGACAGGAGTTTTGCCCAGAGAAATCGAAGTGGTGAAGGGGGGTCAAGTCCTATCACCAGGTCCAAGTGGGCAACTTTAGCAACACTTCTCTCTCCAAACATCACCGAATGGTGGCTTCACCACCAATGGTGGCTCTCCAAAAACGCCTGCTCACCGTGCCTCCGGCGTGGTTCCTGCGCTTCGGTCGGTGGACATCGGATTGCGACCAAAAGCCGCACCGGACACTCTGCAGAGTATCCAATTCAGCGCCCTTGCGCGAAAGAACTCCCTGGAACCCTTCAGATGTGGTTCGAAATCACTACACCATTGTGGGCTGAAAAGTTGAGATGCTCCCAAATCAGACACCAAGCACGTGCGGCGAAGAAGCAGGGGTGACCCGTTCGCCTTTGGGTTCCAGGGATTTCTTTTTGGTGCCATCGGGATCTTCGAGATTGCGGTGGAGGACAGGATCTCGGGTGAAGCTTGGCTCTGATGGTGATTCTGTGATTTTTCCAGTCTGGGTTTCACTTTGGAAAACGTGTGGATTCAGACTATCGCCCCTTTGCCACTGCTTCGTCTTCGAAAACACCTTTCTGCGGAGCGGAATTCGGGGATGAAGCAAAGACCTTTCAAACCTGTTCCGGAAGCGCGCCAACCGAAATCGGGTCGCCACCGGATCGGTCATCGGTCGGTCATTTGCATCCTGTTTTTCTCCAACTCGGTCATGACCAGCATCAAAACTTCAAGCGACCGGTTCGGGATGTTATGTCGCAACTTCAAAGGCCTCAAAAACATTCATCTGTTGAGTGGGAAGATGAATTCCACGCCGATTGCAGTGTATTTGCTCATTCTGAGAAAGTGCACACTGAAGTGTTGGGCCCGTTTCACCCATTAAGTCATGTGCAAAGCAAGGTGTGGAGCCATGGATATATATATATATATATGTATAAGTCCACAGCAGAACATGAAGAAGTCCTGTTCACCACTCTTGGCCGTCACTCCGAGTCATTCCCGAAAACAACATCAAGCTGAGCTCCGCTCGTGAGCAAAACATGTTGTCCTCCGAAGAAGACAACATATGTACCTTTGTGTCCAAGTCAACCGAATGTTTCAAACCACATGCAGGCTATAGATGTGGAGAATCACATGTGTCAGGTGAAACAATTCCATTAATGGGGGAAGCTCCTACAACGGAGCTTCACTTCGGTGGCAGATTTCACTCCTCCATCTACTTCACACAGAAACGATCGCCAAGACGTACCGCCGCTCTGAAACGCTCATCCACCGTCTCGGACCCGGTGAGGCAAAAACCGGTGATAGCGAGCAGCAGCGGTTTTTTTATGCATCTTTATGCTTCTTTAGTGTTTGAAGGTGTCAGGAATCCATTTTGACATCCTGGACATCATGCTTTTGAGATCTATTTTGGTGAACATCGTGCACTGCGAACACTTGAGGCCACGCGGGGTGAACGAAAGCTAGCCACTGCGAAGCAAGAGCGACTCCAACTAGTTGGTGAGTAGGAAAGAGCCACCATAGGGCCATAGATAGGGATTCTTCTCCACAGCGCTGTGTGGATTTTGCTGATGAAGAGGATGAACATGATGAGAATGATGAGCAGGAGGCAGCTTGGCTGGGAAGGGGGACGGGGTGAAAGAAGAAAGCAATGGTATGGGGTGGGGCTTTGCATCTTCTGGGATGGTAGGCATGAGAAGAACCAAGGGGAATACGTATAAGAAGAACCACTGTAATTACCATAGAGTTTGGCAGCAGCAAAGCACCGAACAACAGCAGCAGCAGACCACCCAGCAGCAGCAGCAGCAGACCACCAAGCAGCTGCAGCAGACCACCCACCAGCAGCTCCAGCAGAACACCAAGCAGCAGCACCTGAAGCTGGGATCCAAAGGATCCAAAGGTAACCCCCGCAATGATGAGGCCCTTCATACGGTGGTTGTTAACCACCATCAACCCTTATGAGTGGCTTATTAAAACGCTTTTTGGGAGAGTGGTTCCTTTACGGGGGGGTAGCTACAATACAAATTAAAGTTTTAGGTGTACTGAAATGGTATCAATGATGAAAAATTGGTAGACAATGACCAAACATTGCTCAATTAACGGACTATAAAAGCACTAAGAACTGTAAACAAAACATGCCATGGAAACATAAAACATCCTATTCATTCCAACATATTCCAACCACCAGCACTTCAGGGAAGTTGGTTCGCTGTTTCAAAAAGAAATCAAATGCTGTAACCTGGTGGCTTCCAGTATACGTATGTCCAAACCCATCATTCCTTATTGTGACTGCTGTTGTGATTATTGCTGCTGTTGTTGTTGTTCATCTTGTTGTTATTATTGTCGTTGTTATTGTTCTTGTTGTTGTTGTTGTGGTTTGTTGTTCTTGTTGTTGTTGTTGTGGTTGTTGTGGTTGTGGTTGTGGTTGTTGTGGTTGTTGTGGTTGTTGTTGTTGTGGTTGTGGTTGTTGTGGTGGTTGTTGTGGTTGTGGTTGTGGTTGTGGTTGTGGTTGTGGTTGTGGTTGTGGTTGTTGTTGTGGTTGTTGTTGTTGTTGCTGTTGTTGTTGTTGCTGTTGTTGTTGTTTTGTTGTTGTTGTTTTGCTGTTGTTGTTTTTTGTTGTTGTTTTGTTGTTGTTGTTGTTGTTGTTGTTGTTGTTTTGTTTTTGTTTTTGTTTTTGTTTTTGTTGTTGTTGTTGTTGTTGTTGTTGTTGTTGTTGTTGTTGTTTTGTTGTTGTTGTGTTGTTGTTGTTGTTGTTGCTGGTACTGTTGTTGTTGTTGTTGTTGTCGTTGTTGTTGTTGTTGCCGGCGCTGTTGTTGTTGTTGTTGCTGTTGTTGTTGTTGCCGGCGCTGTTGTTGTTGTTGTTGCTGTTGTTGTTGGTGGTGGTGCTGTTGTCTTTTGTTGTTGTTCATATGGTTGTTGTTGTTGATGTTGCTGTTACTGTTCTAGTTACTGTTGCTGCGATTATGCTGTTGTTGTTGTTGATGTTGTTGTTGTTGTTGTGCATCTTGTTGTTGTTGTCGTCATTATTGTTGTTGCTATTGCTGTTCATCTTGTTGTTGTCGTATCCAATTATGGTTGTTGTTCGTGTTGTTCATCTTGTTGCTATTACTACTGTTGCTGTTGTTTGACGTTGTTGTTGTTGTTGTCGCTGTTTTTGAGGTTGTTGTCGTTGTTGCTAGTGGTGTTGTTGCTGCTGTTGTTGTTCTCGTTCTGGTCGTATTGTTATCTTTGAAAGGGTTTTGTCGCATAGTTCCCAACAGTCCATCTCTCGGGGGGGTCCATAAGATTGATTTAATCAATTATTCTCAGATTTTTGAGGTGCGTCCACCCCGTCATTTAACTTGCTATCGCAAGAGCAACTCCAGCTAGCTGAGGCTAGGTTCGTGAATAGGAACCACCGAGCTGGTGATGGCGTCTTGCCGGTTTTCGCGTCTTTCTTTGATGAATCATAGCAAGAAAAAACCGTGAACGAGGAATTGCTAGGTGTCACCGGTTCCAGGAGATGTCTGCGGAACGCTTTTTAGGTGGCCAAGCTTTTGGAGTACTTGGACAAAGCCGTTTGGCTTCGCTTTCTGCTCTTGTCTGCTGAAACCGCTGCTGCTTGCACTCCTAACTACTCCTAACTCCTGCAAAAAAGAGTTGCTCGCAAGGGGCCATCGAAAAGGACCCACCGAAGTCACTGCGAGCGCGTCACTCGAATTGGGCAGCTGGAGGTCGTAAGAACATGCTAGAAGTCCCAGACACTCCATGTATGGCATATTTGCATACATTGACCCCAGGTCAATCACCCTAATGTAGGTAAATATGCTATACCTGGAGTGTTTGGGAGTGTTTCTGGAAAGAACTCGTCGGGCTTTTCTCCTGGCTTCCGAGCTGCCAAACATCAACCTTGTAATGACCCCAAAGTGGTCGATCTTGTGCGGTTTAGACATTCAGCTAGTCAACTGCTGTGCAAACAAACATTTATAAGGGGACCAGCTCATTTCTGTTCGGTTCAGCGTTCATTTCCCCCAAAGGCTGAATCTTCCATCCGTTTCTACACCCCCTGCTTGCCGTGGCATGCTTTTAAACGCTCATGCAAGCGCTGGCTCCGGCACTCTCTCCCCAATGACCGGTAGTGCTAAGCTGATTCACAAAGCTGATCCATGTTGGGCGTCAACCTTCTTTTACTTTAGTGGATATTGGCAGGACGCCAACTTCTCAACGGGTAAACGTTTTTACGGTGGCAAGGGATCATGTAAGTTGCGCGCAACATGTTCTTGCCGGAGAGAAAGTCTTGGTCAGCAACCCTCAACCCGTGTACACCAAAAAGCTGCCTGATTTGAAGCACTTCCAAAACAATCCCATTCATCTGGTTCCCTCAAGCTTCTGAGGTCATATTCTCCATGTTTTCTTGAAACTCAGCTACCCTTCACAAGGATGAATCAACTCAACTCAACTATTAAACTACTGATATGCTGAGAGGATAAGTCGTTGCGAAACAATAAATACAGCTCTCTCTCTCTCTCTCTCTATATGGCTCTCTCTGTAGCGATCGAATGCCTTTTCGCGTGCCGGAACGACTGGAGACAGTCTCTGGCAATTTGGTGGGTCACCAGCGTAGACCACAGACGCGGAGGCGCCAGCTGCGCGGCCTGCAGCTGGAGGGTGATCGAGTCATAAAGTTGGTAGAATTTCATATGCATCTTGTTTTGCGGCAATTAAGGGTTGTATCATTAACATTGTCAGGTAAAAGGCTTCAATGACAGAAAACTTTCCTACTCCTTCCCCTCATCTAGAGATGCCTATAGACAAAAGCCCTACACAAACAGCAAACACCTCACCGTGGCAAACCATGCATGGTGGAAGTCCAAAAATCTGACCAAAAAGCGTGGCCAAAGAAGAACCGCTCTTCTTGGAATGGTGCTCTTTGAACAAATAACACTAAACAAAAACACATCAACAAAACAAACAAATGAATAGATAAATTAGACAAAATTAGACCAGCTATTTCATGTCCGTGGTTCCTCCACCCATTTTTGGTGCTTTTGGAAGATTCTCAGCAAACTCCCAACCGGACAAGGTCGTCAATTGAAGTTCAAGCTTTGAACTCTTCACACTGCTCAGCCCGTGGTTGATTTAGTGTCCCACCTCGTGGCAAGATTCAGATCCTGTTCTACCATCTAAAACGGTCATGTTTCGGTCGTTCCTGAGTTTTTGCGGGTTGACCAACTCAACATCTGTTCAAACCCTGTACAACTTGTGGGTTGAGCACCAAAAAACTTGACTGGCAACCCGAGAATCAAACGCAGACGAACTCCTCCGTTCTCGGTTCTTCTCCGGCGCCTCCGGGGCATGCAGGTCTCGGTGGCCTGGAGCTCGTGGCCACGCGACCGTGGGTGGACAGGGACCTCGGTGGTCTTAGGGGATCCGCAAAAAAAAAGTTTTGGATTGGGGAGAAAGCAACAACATAGCACAAACAGCGCAATTCCGCTTCCAATTGTTTCTCACCCTAACATACCCCGGGTTTTCCGACAGGTCGATGGTGTCATACCAAGCAAAGGGAAGAACCCACCAAATCTGCACATCACCGACCTGAGAATGCTGAGCAAGACGTCACCAGACGGCCATGGCGCCCATGGCCCCGACTTCTACCGCCGCCCTCCAAGGCCTGGAGAGTCTACTAAGCAGTAATGCCAGGAGCGCCCCGTTCGGTTCGCGTCGGACCGCTCCCTCCGCGATGCCGTAGCTCCGTTCGTCCGACCGCTCACTCGTCGTCATGCCATGCCTTGAGAAACTGACCACCGACCACCGTCGTCGTTCCGCTTCCCTCCGCACCTTGGGTGCTTCGAAGTCCCATCCAGCCACCTTGAGATGGTGCGACGGGTGCCACGGAACGGACGGAACGGACGGAACGGTTGTCAGGACTGTCCCCAGAACGACCTGGAAGAAAAGGATAGGCTATATATGAAGCTAAGCACCCTATACCAGGACCATGGAAGGGGTGGTTATTGGACGGAAAATACATGGTGGTTGATCAATATTCGTTCATCCTAGAATGGCAATTCTTCGTATTTCGCGGATCTTTCGCGGCCTCATCGCGAAGCATGGTCCTACACCCATGTCTAGCTAACATGAGCCGGAGCATGTCATAGTATCACAAAATAGGGACAGACATCTTGCAGCATGGCCCCAATCCTACTCAAGGTCACTTGCAGCATCTGTGCGACAATTATGCCAAATAGAACCAGGCACAACTCAACCCAATCCTCGTGCCAGCTACCAACACAGGGTGATGCAGCTTGGGGAATGTTGGGGGGCCTCAAGCTGGGAACCTGGACTTTAGCGGCACATTCGCGAAACTTTCGCGGATCCTTCGCAAAATTTCACTGGTGCTTTCCCCGGGAAGCCGTAACTTTTGCAAACATCTGCACAGCCCGTCAGAGCAGCTGCAGGTCGTTGCCTCACTATCAGGGCTGTGCCTACTCAGGTTGCTAGCAGCTAGTCTGTGACAGTGGGGACAGGAATCGGAGAACCCTTTACGCACTGCCAGGGCTGGGCACGGAAATGTTGAGGCTTCAGTTCATTAGTCTGTGACATATGGGGACACTTCCGCCCATCGGCTCTGCCGGAGGATTGCCTTATTCTTTGTCAGTCCGGTAGAAAGGAAAGCATATATGAAAGCGATGACCTTCGGTAAATCTTTCGCGGAAAAAACAAAGATACTTTCGCGAACCTCATCGCGAATCTTTCGCGGATGGTTCTAACAACATCTGAAAGGCTGTTTTATATAAAACTCCTTACACGGGGTTTTCTATCAACTCCCACATAGTCAGGGGTGTTCATAAACCACCCTTTCCGTGGTCCTGGTAAGATCCCACGATGAAAAGGATTCCGGTCGTCCGATCAACTCGTCCTGGAGGGAACACAAGTTGTGAACGAAAGGTAGTCCCAGAAAGGGAACACACTGTTGGTGGTCTTTTTGTTCATCCTTCTTTCATCCTTTTTCCGATGCTCCAACAAATTGGGACATGCTACCAGCTAGAGATGCCACTTTTTAAAGGTCTTCTTGGCCTTCGTCAAGCACTGAATGTTGTTTGACCCAATCCAAGCGCACGTGACGTGGCTCTTGGGGCTCTTGGAGTGAGACTCCATCTTGAACTGATGTGGGAAGCGACGAACATGTCTCAAGGTTCGACCTCCCAATATTAAGCTTTCATCTTCCTGCTGTAAGGCCTCTCGGTTTTCCAAGGATGTTTCAAACCCTGCATGCCCATCCACCTTCCTATGTTTGGATGTCTACATGGGCCACTGAAAAAACAAAAAACAAGCCACTTCCCGCCAGTCTTGATTTGTCAAAAATGGTCAAGCTTCGGACCTCCAAAGAAAGGGTTTCCGGCTTCGGGTGGTGAAAAAGATTCATTTCTCTGATCCAATGGTCCCAATGCCGGAAACCCTTTCTCTGAAAAAGTTTCATTTTTCCAATGCATCCATCCTGGTATCATCTCTGTCACATGTTTCAGTTCCTCCAAAGACCCAGCTGGCACCATCTGCGCCATCCATGCCCCAATTGGTTGATCCACAAGATCGAGGGACGCCGGAACAGCTCCGTGGCAGTTTGGGAGTGGAGCCTGGGCGCGGTGGGAGCGACATGAAGCCAAAGCATGGAGCGAAACAGGGATCGTTTTTGTCCGTCTTCGTGACCCATCGGCCGGCCTGGCTTCGACGGCATCTTCGGCTCTCCATCTGAAGGTGGGCAGCAAGCAATGGGGGTGGCACAGAAAGGTGCACAGTTAATGGCCATGCAAGACCAGCTAGAGAAGGTAGAAAGTCCTAGATTCTATACTGTAGATAATTTGGCTTCAACATGGAAATCCTGACAAAGAGATTGGGGATACATTTTGACAGGGGCTCCATTCTCCGTCTATTTGCTTTTCATTTTGTGATCACTTGTGTAAGAGACAGGATCTCGCAGATTTCATCCCGCCGAGCCATTCATCTTCGTCCGTCCTTTTGACACGACGAACGAGTCTGGCACGGACCCCGGCACTGGTGTCTGCGAGAACTCGGCGCGCTACCGGAGGCCGTTCCATTCGGCGTGTCATCTGAACTGTTCCAGGAACGATGTGAAAAACAGGTGAAAACCATCCCGAGTTTTGTGGCGTAACTATTTTAAACATAAAGAAAACACCAACAATTGGATCCCTCCGGTTGGCCGGATCCCCCACCGCCTGGCAGCTGTTCGGGCAACGGCACCTCCCGGATCGGCGCGAGTACACAAGGCTTCCGGGTAGTCAAGCGCGCTTGCGGATTCCAAGACTTTGCGGAGTTCTTTGTGAGAAGGAATGACATAGGAATGACAGAAAGGGTTAGGTCACAAAATCAGGTTGAGGGCGACAATAGGGAGACATAATGGGGGGCACCCAGTACCCTAGTCCGGAGCTGGTAGTGCATACCAGTGAGGAGACCTAGAGGCTGAATCTGGTGAGAAGAAGACATTTCGATTTCGATAGCTAAACCAATAGTGGATGAGGATGAGGATGAGGATGAGGATGATGATGATGATGATGATGATGATGATGATGATGAAACAGGCTCAGACTCCCCAGATTCCAGATGCTTGAAATTTGTATATAGATGTATTTAGTATTTCCTAGTAAACAATCAAAGACAAAGAGGTCCTTTAAATCTCACAAGGTTCTCAGCCACCACTGAGAAGATCTCAACACTGAGACTGTGTTATTGCCTGCAGGAAATCCCTCAAACTCAACATAAAAGGTAGGTGTGCGGGTTCCTGAACATCAAAACCAAGAACAACTAAGAAACAACCATGAAACTGCATGGAACAAACCAAAGAAGAAAGGAAGAGAACACATCAAAATACATCAAAAAGGATTCTTGAACATCGGCACGTGCGCCGTCTCCACACCGGGCACACCGTCGCACCTTTCGCTGCTGAAGCAACTCCTAGGCTTCCCGACAGGGCCCTTTAAGGAGGGCCCTGAAGAAGGCTTAGGACGTTGACTCTTTTCTTTTCGGTTTCAGAAGCAAAGACGTCCGGGCGTCCAAAGACTGCGGTGTGATGGGGTGTTGTGCAATCAAGGGGTTGCCAATAGATGTTTCATGAGTTTGGTTGTACAAACAAGTTCTCCACGCCTATGTATCCAATATCATGCAACACGGCATTTCTCTAAAGGGCTATTCGGTATTCTCAGCTGAAGGCTCGGCCCGGCCGGAAGCCGAAGGCGTGTCACAGTAGTGGAGCTGAAGCTGTTCTTACAACATAGATGCTCAACCAACTGATCCTCAGCCTCAGCACTTTCTCTTGCAACAAGGATCCACGGAAAGCAAATCAAGTGCAACAATGATAACGTTAGGCGTTCAAACCCAATAGACAAACAGTCATGAGTCATGAGTCATGGTTGTTAAAGTTGAGCCGACTCCATTTTAAGCATTAGTTCGTTCCAACAGCATTTGCAGGCCGCTGGGGGTCCAGCACTATCGCCGGACACACCGTCTCTGGACCTTCAAAAGCCGGTCTCTTGACCGTTCCGCATGGGGCAAGGCCCCGGTCTCTTCAGGGTCTCTTCCAAGACTCAAAATCCATGTCTGCGAAGTAGTCGTGGCGCTGTAGCTCATCCCTGAGCGACCCGACCAGGAGACCCACTGACTATGCCCGGCGGATGGCAGACCAGGGCGGACCGAATGGTGACCGATGTGACAGATCTGGATGATTCTGGATGGTTCATTCGGCTTCACACACGACACGATACAGCACCTCCCTGGTCTCCGAAATGGAGGCTTTTGGAGACTTGCAAGTTGCAGGTGGTGACCTGTTGGAGGGTCCTGGTTGATAGACAGCATATACGTCATTCTTCAGCCAACAATCAAAGTGCATGGTGAAAAAGAGTTGTGGTGTCCATCTCTGTGCTATACACTTATGTCCTCAGGAAAACGCTGGAAAACTGGTCATTCAAAACTTATAACCTTTAGCCTTTAGCCTAAGGTTTGAGCAATTCACAAGATCCTCACCTTTGGCACCTCCGAACAAACCCAAGCACCCACGGTCCAAAACCTCGCCGAGCCGCGTCGAGGAGGCACCGAGCCGGTTGCGCGGCTCGCGCACCATGGTGCCGTGGATGAAGGATCTCGGCGACCCGCAAGGTCGAAGACCGTCGACCCACGTGGGCGAGGGCGTTAAACGGCGCCCGGTGTTCACTGGAAGGTGGAGAATCTCAAGAAACACGTCCTGGACCTACCGATTTGGGCGGTCAAAACGAGGGAACCAGCCAGTTACCTGCAATGGCACAGCCGCCTTCATCGGGAAATTAGTCAGCTCCGCATAGCCAAGCTACTTGATGGGCTGAGACATCTGCAGCGTGTAGTTCCGGTCGCCAGCGGTGTGGATTTGGATCAGTTCTTCATGTCTTCATGTCCTTTGACCTATCACTATAAATTAGGATGAACAGTCATGTCCCGGCATTCTTGCGGTTTCCCTTCGGGTGTTTCCTGACTGCCAATCAATTCATCTCGCTATGCTGTCCCACCTTGATCGAATCTCAAGACTTAATTGCCAAACAAAGAACACCATGATGTCCACAAACATGTTCTACGAGAAAATGTATGAACACCGTGAGACTACGAGTCTCGCAGTCTGACACAACCGTAGTCAGCGTAGCCCTGTGAATTATGGTAGTAGGAAGGTGACCAAAGACCGGTTGTGGAGAACCTCTCATTTTGAGGCATACCGTGTGGTGCCATCGCGGCATACCCCCCTTTCGTTTCTGAGGAGACCCACCGGGCAGCAAAGGAGACAGCCCTCGGCAGATCCAGCGGTGCATACCTCAGGGGCTTAGCAAGCTAATCCGATTTTGGAAAATCGACTCCAGAAAAACCGGTCAAAACGAGCTTCAAAAAAACCAAAGACTTCACAAGGCCAGGTCCAATCGAAATACCATATAGCCAGGCTTGACATGGAACATTCCTGAACCATGACAGACTGGTGTTCACCAATCACTTGTTTGCATTCACCAAGAGATCAAGGGGTCTATGATGGTCGATGTACTCCTGAAGTCCAGCACCACTCGGTCCAAGTGGCATTGGCCAATGCTCCGAACCCCTTGGTGGTAGCAAACTCTGTAGCATACTCCAGACATCTTATAGATGCAACATACTCCCAGACACTCCATCGGACTGCCAGTCCGGACTGCCGCCCCAGACAGACCCCTTTTCAACCACCACCCCTGGCCGTTTCTCGGCAGTCCGGACTGGCAGTCCCATTAGTCGTGTTTGGGACTGGGAACCGAGGGAGACGACGACCCTCACCCGACAGCGACGAACGATCGGCGGTTTAAGGCGTTTCATCAAAGCCGGCTCTGTTAGGCATTGGAGTTCTTCATCTTCGGTTGCCAACAAGGGAGTACCAAACATATTCATTAACTTCATGCTCTATTCTTGAGACAACCCCATTTTACGGCAATTTTTTGAGTGCCAAGAGTCTGACCTTCGTGTTAACCACCTACTCACTGACAGGCCTATCGAACTCGGATGCGACTCGAAACAGAAATCAAATGCCCTGAAACAAGCTGCATGATGTTTCTCTGCAAGATCTCTTTCCTCAGCATGTTTGTTGGACGGGAAGCTGGTGCCGTTCTGTTTTTAGAGGTTTGTGAGGCAGAACGTGGTTTTGGCATGCAAAACATGCAATTTACAGGTCCGCAGTCCGCAGCATCCATAATGCGACATGTATAATTTCTGAAACTGCCTGGGGGGTTGAGGGCTTTGGAGGAATCTACAGCTCTCAAAGTGGTGTGCAATCACCATATTCTGCCACGTGATCAATGTGTGAAACTTCAAAAACCAAACTTTGTGGATGAACACGCACAAACTTTGACATGTTGGGTAAACAAAACTGGATGAAAAACCCGAGTTCCACAGTTCGCATGGACAAACGGTCACAGTGATGTTGCATATGTTTGTAAAAGCTGAACAAGGAACCCCCGCTGCCAAAGCGCGCTTCTTGGGTTGGCAAAAGATGGAAGGGTCAACCCTAACTTAAGACATCTTAAGACACTAGGTGTGGGGTGAGCAGTGCTCGTTGAGCAGGAAAAATGCCATACTCCAAGTTCCAATGTTTCAAGATTCTTCTCGTTTAGCTCTTGACTGGATATCTGTTAAGTTCATGCCTTAACCCTTCACAGTTCCGCCCGCGTGCTCTCTCGTGCCAAGCTCGAGCGGCTCGTGATGGAAGAAGGGCGGTAACCCAATGAGCATGTTATACCTCGATGTGCGCGGACCCTTCGGACAGAAACAAAAAAGGCTTTCGGCCTCGCGGACCCTGTTCATCTACCTCGCAACACGCGGTCACCGGCCGCGGCGAAAGTCTGACAACTGAGGCCCTAAAAACCACATGCTTTGAGGCGAAGATCCAAAGAAATCGATTTTAATATAGTTTAATCACGCATGCCAAGCATTGCCAAGCTGCAAAAGCACACCAAGGTTGTAGATGTCAACCTCAATCCGTGACATGCACCTGTGACACTGAAACACCGAACATCTACCAGCAGCAGCGAGGGGATCTTGAGGGGCTATTGGACTAGCAACATCTGTTTAACCCAAATGGTTGGAGGATGTTGGAGGCTGCTGCTGATCACAAGGCTTCTTTCTATTTGTATAATGGGCCTAATGGGTATATCTCAAGTCCTGACAACCTACCACTACCCCGACCTGTTAAATTCCTAGACACTTCGAGTCTTGAGTCTTTCAGACCATTCCCTTTTACCAAAGGGGCCTTCGAAGAATTCTCAAGCTTTTGAACGGAATTGGCCACCTACTCCCTTCATCTGTTCACGGCTTCTTTCCAAAATTTTGAGTTCCTTCAGACACTTGAGATACCGGAGACAGTACCGGATTCTGGTCCAACCTTTCAACCAACGACCCTCAATTTTTGGGACCCTTTTTGCTAAGCCACGGTGTGGTTGTACTTCTGTCGCAGCAGGACCTCTGGAGCGATATAGGCCACCTGCACGAACCGATGTCTTTTACGTGTGCCGACCACAAATCGTAGATGACCTTGCAGCAGGTGGGCCAGTTTTTTGACATGATTTCAGATATGCTTACCGGCTAGCACGGTTTCGAACCGCAGTGTATGAGCAATGGGCATTCAACACATGTTCAACATATAAGCTCAAAATGAAAACAACACTGAGACTGTGATAATTACGGCCCATATTTGCGCTGCATGATCTTGCATGTGAGGCTTGCAAAACACAGGAACGGGTTTGAAACCTTGGCGCTATAGAAGCTTGCTTGGTCACGCATTGGGTGAATAGACTCCGCTCGGAAATAGAAAGCTAAACACAGAAGGAACTTAGTTAGCTTCAGAAATCTTCAGAATCTCAAGGTCACCCGCACACGTTGCAAACAACCTGCGCTTGACGAACTTGAGACACCCTTGCCAAAAATTGGACCATTGTTATGCACAATCGCATAAGACCATAAGATTAAACAACCTACCTAATTTGTAAAAAACACATAATATCATATAATATCTGATATATTGTTATCATTTTATATCTAATAATCTAATACCTACATAGCTTGGCTGGTCATAGTTGACTCTCCCATGGCTGCAGCTCCCATCTCCAGTCGCACCGATCCGCAGTGGGTGCGGGTGCCCAAATGCCGTTGCACCTCATCGTTGTTAGGCGAAAGTCGGCTTAGAAAAGCGAAGAAGGTCGGCTGATAGGACTCTTTGGAAAAAAAAGAGTCAAACCTCCATCCCGGGATTCACCCCGGTCACTCCCCGATGTGTTTTGTGAACGGATTTGGAAGTGCTGTTTTTGGTTGTCCTCCCCTCCAATCACCGGTGGAAAGCCACCGCCGGTGAAACCTCACCCTGGGAGGGCGAGAAAAGCTCCACCGGGGTTGAAACACCGCGGGGCTCCGAGGGGAGCTCTGAGCTTCACAGGTCTGGCTGGTGGTTTTAACTCACAAACAGGGTTTCAGTGGCACAGAAGGGATTCATATGATTACTGTAATATACTGTAATCAAATTTAAGAATTTGACATATCTGACATTTCTTAAATGTATTAAAGGTGGACACTTAAGAATTTCAATCATCTAACAGATCTGAATCCACAGAGCCAACACGCGACCACGTAATAGATGCTGAACGATGTGGGCCCCCCTTTCTCGCTTCAAGATGAGCAGCGCGATGAAGTTCTCCCAATAATGTTCCAGTGTGTAGTGTAGCTGCTGGCTTGCAAGCATGTCGCAACAAAAACCTCCCGTCATGCTAAGAACTTTTTCTATCCGCATCTGTCCCCCTGTCAGGATCCCCTATCCCTTGTGTTCGTCTGGCGACGGTCCTCGCCGGGGATCGGGTCGTCTCCGGTCGTCTCAGACCGACCTCCACGGTCCTCGCCGACTCTCCTGAGAGTGGCGCTCCGTCCTTGGAGAGTCCAAAGTCCGTCAGCAGAGCGTGGCCCTGGGTGTCCAACACCACCTGGGAGGGCGACGCACGGACGGGCGGACGCACGGGGGTTGGGGTTGGCTTTCAGAAGGATCTCGGGAGCAGGATGAGACAGAATGAGCATGTCATTAAAGTGATCGCTGGTCCTGGAATCACAATTAGTTGCGAAGGGAACATCCAAGGTTCCATGATGAGGTCGGGGTACATTTCTCTGACAAATGGGTGTGTTTATGCAAAACTTGAGCTGAATTGACCACGGAGTGTTCTATTCCTTGCAAGCGGGTGAATACGACAATTTGATTCACATGAATGGCGTACCTTGTGGGGATGCTGGGTCAGCACCCGGCTAAACGGTCTGCATTTAGGTCTTATTGAAACAAACCAGATATATTGAGCTTACAAATTATATAGGCACCAGCAGAATCACATGCAAAATCTAGCCCCAGGATGTTCCAGGATATTTTTTATTGGGTAACACGGCAAAAAAGAGTAGAGCTTCACAAGTGTGAGGCTGGCTCCCATCCCCAATGCCAAGCGACATTGTCAGGCTTTAAGTCTCTGTAGATGATTTTCCTGGCGCGTCGAAGCGTGTCAACACTACATCCGAGCCAAGAGACCCTGGGCCAAAAAGGATCTATATAGATGAGCTACCAACCTGGGACAGCCGGGCCTCTGCATGTTAGGACAGAACAGGTATGATCATCAAAAAGAAGAGAACATTGGGAGGCAAGTCCCAACTTCCTTTTTAGAGGAGTGGGAAACTAACTTGACTCGTCATGACTCGTTGCAAAAACACCCCTTGCCTCGCATGAAGGTGCTTCAAGGCCAACAGCACCTCGCCCAGGTATAGCTGGGCCTCGGAATCGAGGATGCGGAGGAGGCCTGTGTTCAGATGAGAAAACACGACGTGATGTTTTGCACCCCTAGTGGCGTCCTTGCTCCGTTCGTAGCGATGCCAGGAGCCCCTAGTAGCCTCCTTGCTCCTAGTAATTAGTACGGCCAGGAGCCCCTGGTACCTATTCCACAATCATCCCTTTTGTCCTAAGTCGTCTGGAAGAGAATGTAGTAGTCTGACGAGCGAGTCAGATGCTCCAAACTCTTCAAACTCTGCCAAAAAGAAAGACAAATTAATGAACGACCGTTGGACCCTCGCCCTCCCACCGCCGCCATCTCGTCTGGTCTCTCCGAAACTAACGAACGAACGCCTCGCGTCGCTCATCCGCTCATCCGTCGCGTTCAGGGCCGAGGTGCCAAGGGAGGAGGGAAGCGATCTCGGCCACCGCGGTCTGGGATGTGTTGTCGGTTTGCGTGGGAGCCCAGTGGCTTTAAATCAGTTGAAACGATTCAAAACGCCGCGTTTGGTCTCTCCACCTCGCAGATGTTGGGCCAGTTTGGGTCCATGTGTTTTTTTTCGAGGAAAGTAAACAAAGGCACCGGCTGCACCGGCTTGGTGCGTTTTCAGTGGACCAAGGGACATCGTTGGATGAGCTGCTGCAGGTTTCCACCGGGGCAGAACTGCATCACTAGCACCTGAGAGCTGCCAGGAGCGGTTTTTCAGCGATCGTCGTCGTGGACACCAAACAGACTTGAAACATCTTGAAACTTGAAACATGAGAAATCAACATCACGACATCTGCAAAAGGAAAGAATTCTAGAGTCAGAAGTGGGCATAGCTGCGAAAACTAGACATGTTTCACCTGGGATTCCAGACACAGATGAGCACTTACCCACTATCCTTGCACTTTCGGTCAATGTCTGAGACCGGCACTAAATGCTTTTGTGTTTGAAATGCGTACTGCAAAGATACCTGAGCCGCGCAATTTGGACACCAAGGGCGACGAATGCGGGTCCTGACTGCATCAGCCTGGTTGGCCACTCCAGAGTATGCCGTGTTCGCTCGGGTGGCGCGGAGTGTTAACCAATTGCCAATTGCTGCAAATACGGGACATGATGGGACATGTCATCTTTGGCCAATCCCCGTCCACCATTGGACCATCGTCTGATGCGGATAGAAGATATACAGAAGGCCCGGCGAAACTCGTTCTTCTCGTGCGCTTCGGTTGTTCTTCTCGTTCAGATTCGAGCGTCAATGTAGGGATGCTGGATGTAGGAGAGGATGTTCCGCTCGGTCATTGCGTAGCGCAGCAAGTTGCTGCTCATGATCCTCTCCTGCAGGCGTATACGAGGGAGATTTCGGAAGCTGTCAACAGAATACCCAAGACCGGTATGGAGGAAAGGCATCCTCAAGAGATCATGATCAGTTGATCAGAAGTCCCTTGGACTGAACTTGTTGCTGCTTGTTTCTTTCACCAGGTGGCTATACTGGTGTGGCTGGATCATCTCAAATCCCATGGATTCCGTGAAAATTGTAAAAATCGCAAAAATCTCACATCATTCCTTTCAGCACCGCCTTGTGGAGGACCTTCATGGCATAGTTCTTTCCGGTGACCTTGTGCCTCACTTGGAAGACCTGCGCCAGAAACGACAGTCCTCATGTCTCGGGTCCGGTCGGACGTGTCCTCGACGGCGGCGTCCGGGCGGGTTTTGCGGTCGGTATGAGCCACCACACTTGTGGGAGGCCTTTCGTTTGATAGCTGTAGTATCCTATAGCTCTGTATACCTCTGTCTTTTGTGTAGTTGGCTCACTGCGAGACCACTCCAATGTGTCGCAAGTCCGGCAGAGAAGAATTCAAGCGTTGCCGGTCCAAGCGCCGCTTGATCAAGTTGATGTCTTCCTCAACGCTACCTTTCACCAAAAGAAGGCAACAGATGCCAACTCGTCAGCTGTCCAAAACGCTTTCCACCTAATTACACTCCCGAAAACTAACATGGACTCTGAGAATGGCACCCTCAAAGACTTTCCTCTATAATCTCTATATAAATATATACAACCAGTGGTTTTAAGGGTCCATGTGAGTTCTCAGCGGGGTAAGGGACATCTCTCCATCGGACAAGTCGGCGGCCTCTCCAAAGGCTCCGCGACCCAACCGCACCAGGAACCTGACAAGAGTGGAAACTGCCAACTGCAAATGAGATGCGTTCGGTGTTGTTTTCAACAGTTTCGGATACGGGGAACCATGGGGAAACTTCGGTGGCAACCAGGCAATCTTTCTAGTAGAAGTCTGCTTCTCATGAAACATGCTCATCTTGCTCAAATAAAGATAATCTCAGCAGCACAGCAGTTGCTGCAGACAATATCAAATAATCCTTCATCACTACCGGCGCGAGTTTCTCGCCAAAGGCGAGGTCGAGAGTTCCTCGGTCTGAGGTCTATCCAAGTCTCGATGTTCAAGTCGATCGAGGACTCAGGATTGGTCAATGACCTCAATCATACAATAATTACACATTACTTAAGGAGGTAAGGGACCAGGTTTTACCGGAGCATTGGACTTGTAAGGGTTGATTGGGAAGATTGAAAGATCACCTCCTTCACCCGCCGGGCTCCAAGTACCTCCTCAAAAGGAATTTGGACCTTCCAAACCCACACCAAACACCTTCTCACAGAGGTACTTGGAGCCCTATAGGGCCTATTTCACCCTGTGCCGGCCCTTACCTCAGTGCACCGCACGTGCACCACATTAGGATCGCCCATCCAACCACAAAGAAATACGTAACGTTCTCCGGAACCCAAACGCGACAACATCGCAAACTTCTTTCAAGCAGTGCTGGTGCTGAGTCACTCAAAGGACTTGGGATTCACCGGCTCTCGCTCGCTGTCGCGAAGCCGGGTGAAGCAACTGGAGGAGCTGGTTCGACCTCGGCTCGCTCAACGACAAACGACAGCGGCTCGCTCAGCTCGCTCCACTGCAGTGGTTTTTGGCCGCCTATAGATCACGTCGGTGAAGCGGGTTGTTGAGGCCCCGAAACGCCCGGGACGTTCAGCATGGTCGTTAGACCCCGTCCAGGACGTTCTCTCTTTGTTGGTCCCGTAGGTTTGACTTGAGCTTCACCTCTGTGGACTGTCCATTTGACCATGCATTGAAACTGCAACCCGTTGGTCAGGTACAAATCGCCTGACCACCCTCGCCAGGACGGTCTATCTCCGCTCACCGTACCCATCCTCCCGTTCGAATGCCCACCGCGGGGCTTCCGGTGCTGCCGACCGATTCCAAGGACCGGCGAGAAGGACGCTCAGCTTCCGGTGCCTCCCCTGAGACGGGACGGACGGGGAAGCCATGGCACGAAGGGCGCCATCCGAGATTGGCTGGGTTTGGCATAGCCGGTGCCCCAAAACACATGCCGATGCCTATATACTATACCTCCATGATCCTCGATCTATGTTCAGCCTGTAGAAAGAAATCTGCTCAATGAGGACCAGTGAACTTGTTCTATATCGTCTTATTCCTCCTTTTGAACCAACCCTTCACCACTCTCGTTCGCCCGTCACCACTCTCCTACGGCATGGACCCACCGACCCCCGCCTTCCACGCTCCTCCTCGTCAACAGGCGCTGCACGGCGTCGAACCTGGAGATGCCAACGCCGGTTGGGTCGATGTTTCCCAGTCCCAAGCAGAAAGAGTCACCTGGAAGGAATGGAACTCCCCTGTTCCAATAAGGCTATGTGTAAAGGATTTCAAGCTGGCGCCGGAACAGGGACGGTTCCAAGTCCAAAGGATCTGAAAAGCCTTTCTGGGGTGCCTCTGTCTGAAAGCAGAATTCGAACATGAAAGAACCCATCAACAAAAACTGACGAGCTCAAGCAGGATTCCACTCTTGGGGCATTTGGGTTGTAACATGTTGTAACTATGGTAAAACACTGCGTGTATGCCATATATGCCTACATTGGGGTGGTTTCAGGGGTCAATGTAGGCATATATGGCATACATGGAGTGTGTGGGTATGGTAAAACATGGTAAAACCAAAACCAGCACCTGGAAACTCTCAGGTGGTCCATCTGGATGTCCATTGCATGGGCCGGTTGAAGACGAGATTCTTCGGGCAGAAACGCCCCACAGGATGGGTTTCCAAGAAACGCCCCACAGGATCTTGGCAGAATTGATGTGGTTTCCTTCCCAACTATCTGTTGCATGTGTCAGTGAAAGGTCCGGCCTTCCATTGCGCCGCAACGTGCCAGTGGCATCTGCAGTACGTTGGTAACCATCCTGGACAATGGAAGGATGCTCGGATGGATGAGCTCGATTCACTTCATGTTCTTCACGAACTTCTTCATTTAAATTAGCATCTTCTTTGCCCTCTTTGTTCATCTTTGCTTAGGGCCGCGCCGACCACGTCAAGGACTCCAACTCCAAGAGCATCTCGGGCTTTTAGGCCTCGAGTGCGGTACGCGTGCGCGAGTAGAGGCGAGCGAAGCATAGCTTTCGAAGATACACTCCCTGGAACTAACATGGTGACGTGGAGCATGGCCCCGAGTTCGGAAGACCAATGTGTTTTCCACTACAAACAGGTGGTGCCATCCACGTAACCATGTGAATTCCAGGGAGAGTAGGAGAGTATTGGATCTTCCGTTCGTGACCAAAGGGCCTGTACTGTAAGTTCGATCACTGGACTGGGACTCCAAAGTTTGATCACTTGCCCTAAGAATCCAGGCCCTCAAACAGATAGGGTTGTGAGGGCCCGGGACCCCTGCTATGGAGGGTCCGACCCCTGCCATGGAGAGAGCCCAAGGATTCTGAGTTCGTTTCGGGACAGGGAAAGTTGATGTCGACTGGAGACCGAATGTTCGGCCTTTCGGAAAGGCGTTCAATCGCCCGCACATTTTTCAGAGATGCTGCATTCACCTTCCACACGGTTCAACCACCTGCTGCATCCTTGCTGCAGGTCTTGTTGAAGGTTTTGCGCATTGAACGCCCATGCTGACGCAAATATTTCGGCAAACCCACCTGTGGCTTGTGAACTCCTTCTTCTCTAAACAACCAATCGTGATTGGATTGTGCCAACTATGAAGCGTCCCATCATTCATTTGACGGACATACGATGGGCTTTCAGTGCATGCTGCATGGCAGGCCCCATCCCACTTTGCGCGCCCAAGGCACCAAATGAAGTGGCAGGTGACCATCCTTGGGGAGTCCAGGGAGTCGGTCGAACATCGGTCGGTGGCCAGCTCCGGAGAATGGACAGAGACCGTCACTCGCATGAGATGATGATCTGAATTTGCGCCCTCAAATTGAGGAAGCGAATTACGCAGAAATGATTCACTTCCAAGACCCTGACTGGGGACCCCAAACTTTGGATTGTTTGGACTCCAAACCCCTTCAGGTTTGATGGAGCATGATGGGCCCCTCTGCCTGAGTTCCTTCAGACCTGTCAAGTGCGGGCCAGAACTCCCATGGACAAAGTGCCAGGATGTGCCAAGTGCTCAACATTATATAAATAGAAGCAAAATACAACACACACAAATTGTTGTAGTTTCTTTTGGTTGCTTGATGTTAACTTGTTTTCTATATATTACAGTATGTTTGTCTCCATGTGTTCATCGCCGGGCCGGTTCACATCTCTGGCGACCGCCTGCCCTGACCGAGCCCTGCCCTGACCGATGGATGCCCCGGAGCCCGTCCTGGCTGGGCACATTGGCATCCGCTCGGTGTGCTAGGAGCACCTTCGTCACCTGCAGGTTGCTTTGAAAGGCAGAGACCTGGGCGCAGCGCTGTCTCGCGCAGCCCGACGCGAGACGACCGGCGCCGACTGGGCTTCTCTTCTTCGCGAAGAAAGCGTGCTGTTTCGGTGGTGTGATCATGAAAGATCCATCCGTTGGACGACACGAATAGAGTCGGGAAACAACGAATCGCTGTGGTCTCGACTTGGTCTGTATCGATTTATTCGGCGAGCTTAAGGAGGTTCATTCCACTTCCCTCTGCTTAGGAACTGAATCAACCAACTAATGCAAAAAATGTTCTCATCACCAATCGTATAGCCAGGACTTGAGTCAGTTGAGCCACCAAGAAAGTGGGATATGGGTCCCAGTTTCTCAAGGATGGTGCCATGAATTTCATTCGGACTCGATCAATCCTGCCTGAAGGGAATCACGCTCACCACGCCAGGGGAATCCATTAGCATCACTCTTGCCTTGCATTACCTCTCTTCTTACAATCTTTGGGTTCTAACAACGTGCCCAAGTTCAGAAACCACACCTCCATCTCTTCAGTTTTTGGCTTCTGACTGATGTTCTGATCATCTTCTGGCATCAAGTCTACCATTTGAGGGTCACCTGGTTAAGGTCCACGTTTCACCTGCCGACCAGATGCATGCAAAGGGGTGAGCCCTTGGAAGCTGCGGTGCTCCTGGCGCCCCACGTCATGTCTGTGTCCAGAGGCCCGCGTCGCGGCGCGGGTTAGTTGGGGGGGATCTTTTCCATGTTTAATCATACTAAAACATATCATTATGTTTTTAATCTATGTTTCAAGCATACCAATGCATCAAACTGCAGGAACTTGTTGACCTGTAGCTCGGAATCGCACCAGTGGTGCTTGCCAATGTGGTGCAAATGAGCCATGCCAACCATGTCCCCCAAACCTGCACTCCTTTTTCAACGGTTGAACCTACATACCCACACGGTGGCGGGATGGTCACATGATCAATATTCCTCTGACCTGAAGCCAAACAAACACAGACTGAGGCTCTTGTTGCATTTGGCATAAGACCACACACACATGAAGCATCACATGAATCCTCACCCTGTTCAGAAAGTCGCTCAAGCTATCTCCCCGCACCGATCCTTCCTTCCGACCGGTTCCCACACCTGCCACCCCTTCCCTTCGGTCCCTCCGTCACGGTCGTCCGTGCGGCGGATCCGCGGGCGCTCCGGCGTGGCGTGCGCTTGCAGCAAGACCTGGACGATCTCCGCGGAGCCGTTGGCCGAAGCCAGGTGAAGGGCACTGCGGCCCTGAGACGAAGCAGTGAAGGTGAAGGATGTGAAGGTGAAGACCGGGGGGGGGTCCGAGTGAGCTGTGTTTTGTGCAGGGTTCAACATTGACATGGTTCTTATTTTAAGACAAAAAGAAAGCAAGCATTCGTAAATACATTGGGCGTCATTGGGCTTCAACGGCTCTTTTTCCCTGTGAATTCTGAGGGATTGCCAGAGCCTTCGATTGCGTGCAACCACACCAGATCGATCGTGCGTGCCATAGAACAGAGGTGCGGCTTGATCATCTGGTCAGAGCAGTGATTGAGATTGAACTATATCGTATCCTGTCAGGAGACGATCCAAACAATATGATACTATCTGGATCTGATACTCAACACCCCCCCAAAATAAGCGGGCCAAAATGAACGTCTGAGTCTTTGTAAGCCCCTTAAGAACAATTGTCAGCATCCCTCTCCAAAGTGATCATGTCCGAAAAAATGTCCATGGATCGCAGACGGGTGATGCCCACGCATCAGACTCCCCCCCGATGGGTCTGGGACTCCCCCGCGGTGGGCCCATCGATGGCATTGGCCCGCGCGGGCGGGGCTGCTCTGAGCAGCGCCATGCAGCCCGCAGCATCGCCCAACTGGCGGGTTGCGTCGGAAGAAACCTGGTGGACGGGGTGCTTCTAGAGGTGACGGATCACATAGAACACACGTCTGGCAAACAAAGAGGCTCACCAGGACCATAGTTGCCATAGTAATAAGCACCAGGACATTCACACCTTCCAAACTACTGAAGGGGATGACGATGATATGATGATCGCCTCAAACAGTTTGAACTCCTGGCGCTTTTCGACATCTTTTTCTCATTTCGCCAGGCGCTTTTCACACAGAGTCACGCCATGCGAGGCTTCCTGGCAGGGAGTTGGCGCGAGTGAAGGAGTGAAGAACCGGATGCAAGTTCCACCACATATCCGTAGAAACATAGCCAAAGAGGCTTGGGACAAAATGAAAACAAACACCAGAAGAAACATGATAATAGCGTCCTTGCCCCTAGTAGCGAGGCCAGGAGGCCCTAGTAGCTTCTTGTTCCTAGCCCCTAGTAGCGTTCTTGCTCCTAGAATGTTACCATCAGTTCCCCCCCAGTTTGTGTTACCGGCAGGCTGGTCGAGCGTCACGCCGCAGAAACACGATACCTCGACAGGAATGTTGACACATAAATTATTCATCTTCCAACGTTGTTTATATTTGTCTGCGAACACAAAAATGGATTTTATAGTTTATAAAACGATCGAAAACCACAAGATACCTCGACTTTGGGTGACTGGATGCCATTTCGAGGACGTCTATCTGACGGCCGTGCAACTGATCGCGTTAAAACTAAGCCCCCAAGACTTGCCTAGCCTTGTCCTGAAGTTTTGAACCGTGCGGTGTGTCCATCATTTGTGTACGTTGGCATGATTGGTGAGGCAAAACCCATCCAGAACCCTGAGAGGCCTCTCAGGGACTTTAGAATCGGTTCAAAAAAAACATGCATCACCCCTTTGAATGGTGGAAGGAGAGGCTTAGTCTCCAATGTCAAGAGGTGCCTCGTCCAAACTCAAGTTCAGCAGGTGCGGATCGAGTTGAAGTGAGTTTGGAAGATGCTGGATAGATGTTGGTTTCAAGTGTACTTCTGGTGACTTAGTAAGTCAACCTTTTCTGCTTCGCCCAGATGGTAGCGGTTCGTGAAACACTCTGCACATATGGAATATGATTAACACAACAAACTGATTCGGGTAAAAAACAACTTTCGGATTTCGGGGACCGTTGTGGACGCCTCCTCAGCTTGAACCAACGATCCCCAAAACCCCTTGAGCCTTGGTCAGGCCCTCTGCGAAGTCAAACTCCGAGAGATACTCGGCCGCAGCGTTGCGGCTCTGCACGAAGAAGGACTTGGCCTCCTCAAAGTTCTCCAAATGAAAGTGCGCTAAACCTTCCCAGAGCGGTCAAAGGGACGAACTCTGTCTTCGGCCGCAACCACAAAAAAAAGGGGTGGGAAGCCCCGCTTTTCAGCACCAGAAGTCAGCTCACCTCATGAGTTTCTAACAAGGGATTGTTTCAGCCATTTTCAGCATACAAACAGCAAAATCCTTGGGTCTCATCATGGAAGAATGGATTTGAAACTCAGCTAGTTGAGTTCATCCAAACTACAGGTTCTAGTTGATTGGAAAGGAGAACCTGTAATATGCTCAACACAAAGGTGCGTCCATCCATCTGAGAGTCAAGCGGCCCATGTAGTAGAAGTTCCTCTTGCATTTCTTCAACTCAAAGGCTTTCTTCATCCTTCATTCGGCCACAACTGCGGAAACATGAGGGTTAAACCGGGTGAAACTAATCGCAACTGCGGTGAGACAGGATTTCTCTCAGTCTGATGTCCTCTTACAAACTACATCTAAGTGGGCTATGAGCACCCATCAAATTAAGACAAGGCGAAAGGGTGGCCCAAAAACACAAACTTTTGACAGATTCAGGGAGATCTAGGCCGTAAACGTTTTGATGTAGAACAAAGCACCCACATGTCGTTTCGTCGGTGTAAAGAGTTGCAACTTCTATCAACGGCAAATCATGATACCTTCAGGTGACAGTGAGGATAGCCACACAATGATGAAACTGTGAGGACGAAGAGACGAAGAAAACATGTTGACGGTGATGACGAGTGTTTTGGACAAACATGATGACGTTCACTTCCAACAGACTTCCAGACTTCCCAGGAAGGTTGTTTGGCACACAGATTCATTTCATTACCATCAGCCTACATCACCTACATCAGCCTACGGCCTTCGGTCCGGTGATGCCGCGGCGTTCGGTCCGGTGTTTTGCCTTTGCAGCCCCCAAACTGGGGTTCTCATTGATTTGTCCCGGTGGCACATCTTGGCACCGGTGGCCACACAAAAATAAAGCGGAAGGGTCTCTTCTTCGACGGGGGCGTCTGACGGTTGCACAGGGCCTGACCTGGTCAATTCCCAAAGGAGGAAGGTTGCCCAGGGCCCTTGTGAACAATTTCTTGAATCAGCCTCTAATGGGTCGGCGGTCCGCCCCGATCGGTTATGCAGGTGTCTTACAGAGGGGGCTGATACGTGTTTTTGCCTCAACCCTCCGTTGTTAATGGTGCCCCAAAGCTTCGGAAGATGCCCATGCCGTCCAAGGCTCAACGTTAAGGCCTTGGGCAAGTCCCGTAAGGGCCACGGAGCAGCGATGAAGAAGCAGCCCTCGAAGATGAAGCCCAAGCCTCCTAGAGCCACTAGCTTGGAGGCTATCGGACGCTAGTAGGTTAGAGGCCATCGCTATATATATAGTCGCTACTAGGTTGGAGGCCATTGCTATTAGGTTGGAGGCTCTCCAAGATGAAGCCCAAGCCTCCTGGAGCCCATCGACCCAAACCACCACGACCGGACCGGTCGACATGGGCTTCGTTTGGCCATCGGCACGGCGGTGGGCGCGGCGGAGGCACGGACGCGTCCTTCTTCCTGCGGCCCGTTCTTTTGCATCCTCCGCGCGTTGCGCAGGAACTCCTGGGAGGATAGCAGACCCAGGAGTGCTCCGTTCAGTGGGTTCAGAACTTGCAAAACGTGAGACTGCAGCATTCCATTTGATCGTCTCTCTTTCTTTGCGGCATCTCACTTGGCACACAAAAGAAGCACCTTACCAGCAACTACTGAATGTATTTTTCCTGATGAAATCAACTTGCTCTTTTCGTCTGCTTTTCCTTTAGACCCTGTTAGACGACGTTTCTATATACTCTTCTTCTACACGGCCATCGCCCTCGCCGAACGCGCACGCGTTCGGACGACGTCCTGTCCCCCGCCGGTGAGCGCTTGCCGCACAATCCCATTGGCCGAGCTCCTGGGGCGAGCTCGGTGGAAGATGGTGGAACTGAACCGCAATGGATGTGAGACGCGGTTCGGGTCCGACGGGAGATCAGAAAAAGCAATAAACCCATTGCATCCCATTGCCATGTACTATTTTATACTCCAAAGAAAATTCCCCAAGCATGGGTGAGTAGCTCAGTCTTAGGGAGACCGACCGACATCTGGCAACCCCCCGAGTGGCTTTGGTGGGGAACATCGACCCAAACGGGAGGAAACACCATGGAAACCCCTCAAGCACTTCTCCCGAGATGAACATCAGAAGCCTGGAGACAAGCTCCTGATTGTTTTCCGTGAAAGATAATCCACTTCTTTCCATGGTATCTATGAGCCTTGATCCGTGAAACGAAGTGCAAGTGGCACCCCATGGTACCCCCTCGCTGTAGGCACTACACTTCTCCGCAAAGTGCGCCCAAAGATGAGGGGAGAACACTCCTCTTCCCATTTCCGAGGTGCAGGCTGGCAAACCTATATAGCCGCTCCTTTCGATTCATCGGCCAAAACCACGTGTTCACTTCCGACATGTCATGTCAGACCATGACAACAACACACAGCTCTTTTGATACCAAAGGCACATGTACTGAAAGGCATCTGCATAAATGGCGGCCGCCCGTGGGTGATGCGGCCAGGCGCTGAGAGCCCTTTTCCTGACCAACGGCTGGCACGTTTTAGACGGCGGCCCCGGTGGGCCCCTCCGGTCGAGCAGTGAATAACACAAGCACGTTCGAGTAAGAAAACCATGTAGAACCTGAAAGAGGAACAAACAACACAGCGACTTTAGCACGGGCACATGTCATGGCAACCGTGAGACTATGGGCACTGAGACTGTTCGGCCAACAAAATGCAGCTTTTTCATACACGCTTGGCTGCACTCTACTATTACTCAACTCCACCTATTGCAGGTTTCCCAGATGACTGGTGTGTTCTAGGCTGAAGCCACCAACTGGTAGGTGCTCAAAAACATGTAACATTGCAGTGGAAGCCAACATACGTCCACAAAGAACGTCAATGAGAGAGCCACACGGATTGTTTCACCATGCTGCCATTGGACTTGTGACTGTTGACACATTACATAGACACCTCGAACACAATAGTCGGTGCATTGGAACATGAAGACACCCTCAAATGATTTCTTGATTTTGGGTAGTGTGTTTTTTGTTCTGCCATAATTAAATATTTTGCACAATTCCGTGTGCTGGTGGGCCCTCATTTTGGCACACACACACAAACATCCGTTTGCTGGTTCAACCCTGTCAGTTGCATCACCATCTGACCATCCACATCAAACCAAGCTGCGCATGCTCAACAGCTTCCGGGCCCACCTTCTTCCAAATGCGGACGTTCTCCGCATTGTCCTGGGGCTTTGCAATTGTTGCTCCGCATGTCACTCTGATGTATCAAATGAAACGCACAGTGCTTCGCCCTGCAACTGGCCACAGCCAGGGCTTTACCGGATGAACAGGACTGGAAACCACAAGGTGAAGCACACAAGGCCACCGACGAGGGCCCATTTTCTGTCCACTTGCACCTCTTTGCACCCCTCCACTTCAACTTCTCTAAATGAGGGCCTGGCTTCATCTGTCACGAATCACTGTTTTAAGTTCAACTTCTTCGACACCACTCTTCCATTCGGCCAGCATCGCTCCTGAGTGCCGGAAATCAACAGCATGTTGCCATTCGTCTGGATGCGCATCACACCTGAACGACGCGTGACGTTCCACTTCCGCGGAACTGCACCGCCTATGCGCCGAGTGGAAACTGATGTGTGGATGGGGAGAGAAATCGGTAGCATTTGGGTAGGAAACATGCGTGTCTTCCCTCGTGTCTTCCCTGCATTCTAAATGTGAATCGAATGTGGAGTTCCTGGTCATTTTTTGCGTCCTTGTAAAGGGAATCATATTATGAGGTGGGACAGCATCACTGCAAAAAATGTGCATAGGCATTCCCAGTGAACTCCTGGGTCATCTTCGCCTCATTCCCCATGGCCCATGTATCTTAAGAACCCGATCCAGGACAATGAACACATTGTATCTTAAGATTACAATAACATTATCTATTTTTCCCAGCTGTAAATCCAGGACAATCATGTATCTTAAGATTTACAGCTGGGCCTTTTCGAGCTCCGGAATCCAACATCTTCAGTGCTAGAGCATCAGCCAGACGTTGCCAGGCGGCAGTTCAGTGCATCGGCCAAGTCCAAGTGGGCACCCGTCTCCTCTTTCTCCTCGAGCTGTTGCCTTCGTGCGAAAATCACCGAAGTGCTGGCCTCGGACGTCGACCTTGCTGAGAAACCTTTTGGAAAGGCATGCAATGCTTTGCCAAGGAAGTCGGTGCCACTTATGGTAAGGATGTACATCTGCCTGGTAGATACCTGTAGGACCCATAGGTGTGGGGCTGCCTCCTTTTGATTGTGACGGCAAAACAAAAACACACACAAACAAACAAACGAACCAACGAACCAACCAACCGAAAGACAAAATAAAAAAGAAAAATATAAAGAAGCATTTAAAACAAACAAAGAGCAAACAAAGAACAAAGAAACAAAAAAACAACATCAAACAACCAAGCAAGCAAAAATCAAGCAAAAAAAATGAAACAACGAAACAAACAAAACAAACGGAACAAACGAACGAACAATCCATTCTCGGGAGCCGGCGTCAAGCCTAGGCAACCTCACACTCTGAAAACCATCAGACCATCAGGAAAACAACATGCAGTAGCTACCATGCCCATTGCTGATTGCTGTGTCACAGGCGGGATCTTTGCAAACGACTCACCTCAGCAGCTGCGCCGCTTCTTCGCAGTCACGCACACTTCGCTGAGGCTTCGAGAGGAGAACCTCCGCACGATGCCGCAAAAATGCCGGGGAGCGAGGAGCGAGGAATCAGCTGGGCGTGCTGTGAGGTTTTGTGTTTGGATAATTTTGGAGATGCCGCGTCTGTTTTTGGGTCATGTTGGGTCTTCTGGTTGCGCCATTGGTGCCCTTCGTGATGCGGAAGGAGCCAAGGCGAACGGCGCGAAACAGTTCGGTTCTGCGATGGCCGGTGTGGCTTGACGAGGGGGAGGTCCGCCTTGGCTGATGGAGGTCCACCCCTTCCCAGCAGCCCGCAGCGGTGGAAAGTGAAGATCCTCAGTGACACAAGTGATGGAGCTATAGGTTGGTGTGTCCGTGCATGTGTTAAGAATCCCTGAAAGATGCAGTGCACGGGCTGAAATGTGTTCAAGGTGGGGTTCGGAAGAGTGCACGGGCCGGGCACGAGTGTACTCTGACTCTGGTCTTTGCATCTTGGGCACCTGAATTTCGGTCTGCGGTCTGCCCTGTCCAAAGGATCGAGACCTTAACAGGAGTTCCCCAAGAATGCTATGAATAAGCCCTATCGGTAGATGGACTAGTCAGTTCAAGCTGGGACTTTTTGTCAGGCTGAATGCGTCTAATCAGAACACACTTGTTCGCTCCCATCAACAGAACAACAACCATCGTAAGTTCTTCTTTTCTTAAAGGATCCATTGGTTCTTTCATTTCAAATGGATTCCAAGTGGATCTTTTCTTGTTTAATTGAGGTTTCTTTCTTCCATTGGAATCGACCGCACCTGGACCCCACCGATCCGAGCTGCCCGAGCAGCGCCCAGAAGAAAAAGCGGTAGACCGAAGGCATGGCGGCCCAGGCCCAGAAAAGCTGTGAACCCAAGGGAGCTTGGGGGTGTGTCGAGTTACTATGTTGTTTGTTTTTAGATGAATTTATAGGTGGTGTTTTTTTGAATCCAAAGCAATCCTGCAAGATCCTGCTGCAAGCAACGATCACTCCAGCAAAGTGTCAATCGGTTTTGGTGCGATTCTTTGTCATGTCATGACCTATTTTCATTTGACCCCTTTTTGTATGATCTTGATCACTTTTCATCACAAGATCCGAGTTTGAGCCCTAGGCCCTAAACAGAAAGCGTCATGTTTCGGAGGACTCAAGAGATTGTCATTTGGGCTCAAAAGATACATGTTCGCCACAAATGTTCGCCACAGCGCATCAAAGCTGCTTGTACCAAATCAGCTCAGTTAAGCCAGCGCAGTTGCCATGACTGTTCTCTACATCCCTCAACAGGTTAGCTTAGCTCACCATGCAGTGCTTGGAGGAAGCTGATAAATCTCAAAGGAAAAGAACGTCGCAAAGATCGTGAAGCCCAGGTTTTCCAGCAAACAGCCCCTTAACTTGCTGTTTGTGGGGAGTTGGGTCCTTTTCCATCCAAAATTCCTTGACCTCTTCAGGTCCGAGAACTTGTTTGAATACATATGTTCATCGCGTTGACCAAACACTGAACATCGGCAATTCCAGGGAAACACACTCCTCGCGGAACCCGAGATGCAACCCCCCCGCCGTTCCCAGCGGTTCCAAACGACACTGCTCCGCCGGAGCAGGGACCATCCCATCTACGCCTGGCTGGCACTCAGCAGCTTCTGGTCTTGGCATCTTTGTTCATGCCACCATTGCTGCCAGGGTTTCCGATCCTCCAGAGAAAGCCAAGCGGGACCGTTTCCATCCCTCTTTGAGTCAGCAGTTGACGCTTTCTCCGGATGGTTTCTCCGGTTTCCACCAATCTTTCAGCTTCTGACAGTTGGTCGAAATGAGGGCGAATTTGCTTCTTCCGAGAAGGAAGATGTTTCTTCGATTGACCCACCAAACAACGCTCTAAATCTATAGTCGGCTGATGAGAAAAGGACTTCCCTTTCAACACGTGTTGAACATCATCTCTGTCGATTTGGTGGCCTCTATACACTTCTTTTGCTGGGCCAAAAGTACATCCCAAAATGGTTCCCCTTTCAGATCCACAAAATCCGCTGCTGTTCCACAGTTGTTTCCACATCGTAGTCCACCTTCGATCCACACTTCCAGGTATAGCGCCACAGACACAGGCGCCTTGGGTAAGCGCTTGGGGTCCATGGGCCGTTCGAACTGCTCGTGGTCGGTGACATACCTGCGACGTGGTGGCCGCGAGGAGTGGCGCGCCGCGGCGCCGTCATCAGCGATTCGCCCGAGCTGCAGGGTGTGGGACTTCCGGGCATCTCGAAGTCAAGTCAATGTACAAGAACAATGCCGAAGTCGTTTCGCTTTTTCTTTTTCCGGTTTTCGCGGTTTTGCGCCTCACTTCTCCAGTATCCAAATTCTTGACCAGCCAGCCTGAGCTGGACAGAGACAGGGAACGCCCTGTCCGAACTTCTGATGTCTTCAGCAAACACATGAATTGCATACGGTAGGATCAAGCGATATGATAGCTGTGGCTGGAACAAGTTCCACCACCCGGTTTAATGAATATCCTAAAATGGGACATGATTCAGACTCTGATTCAAGAGACACCCATCTTGGAGGACCCCTTTTCACACGGGCCACAGGAGCTCTCAATTGGACTTGAGAGTGGGACATTCCCCAGATGCCCAGCCACCAGACATGCAGCATTTTAGTTCTCAAGCCGCTCCCGCAAATGTGTGTTCTTTTCACGGCTGCGGCCTAGCCGCATCCCTAACCTCTACTGGCTTACATACACACCCGTGTGTGGAGGTCTTGACCACGGGTCCGCCCCATGATCTACGCTCTGATTTGAGCCAAGAAGCTTTGATCCTCTTTGATGACCATCTTGGCTACCTCAGTCCCAAGGTCTTTCTCTATTCAATCCTCGTTCTTTCATATCCAGCGAGTTGTTTCGTTTTGGTCCGCTGCACCATTCCCATTCATGTTTTCGTGCCACTGCCCTTCTACCAAGCAGAGAAGAAGCTGCTCATCCCCTTTACAAACCAGCGGCTGTCACATCCCGATGGGCAAGCCTTTATAAGGGTCTACAGCGGTCTGCACATGGTGTTCACACCATCTATGGTACAACAGTTGGCTGAGCTGTTCCAGTTCAATTCCCCAACGTCAGCACCGATACCACCATCATGAAGTAGATTACCATTTTGGCCAGCAGTAGTTGGAACATGGTCTCTCTGTCGACATGCTGCATATTCTGATCGTCTCTGTTCCAAGAAATCAAGAATCACACCACCACGCAAGCTCCTTATTATGTATTCTTGTTGTTTCTTGTTGTGGTATTCGCCATGTGTGCGCGTCTGATTTGTCACGAAAAGAACATGACATGCTATGATTGGCTCGCCGCAATGGCAGGGGTTTTGCATTCGACCAGAAGGGAGCTGCTGCGAAGAACAGCGGGGTCTGTGTGTGAACGCACGAGCACAAACAGGGCCTTCTGTAAGGTTTCCCCAAGCCATGATGAGTTGTCGGAAAATCAGGGAAGGTGGACCCATGCAAGGATAAGTTGAGATGCTTCAGGCTACTCATTGTTTTTCTCTTTATGATGTTCCATGAGTCTCCGAGTTTCCGAAGTCAAAAACCACCCGACACCCATCACAAACCCATCAGCTGACACCAAGTCGCCTCCTTTGCTGCGGCCATGGAGGGAAGTCTTGCTACTGGTGTCCCAGCCGTCCCAGGTCACTACGAACGTCTGGCACTCAGCCAATACTACCAATTCTGACAGTCACAGACTCAGTCTGTCCATAGCTAAGTCTTTCTCGTCAGATCCTTCTTTTCTGACCTTAAGATCCTTCTGCCGATCAACAAATCATCCTTCTGCACACAAGGATCGGTGTTTCAGGGGTTTTTTCGATGCTCCGACCCGGGGCGGTGCAACCATGTTGGCTCAAGGACCCGATCCTACCGGAGTCTCCAGCGTCAACGGCTACTTCTTCGTCTCCTACGTCGGATCTGGACTCCCAAACGGCTCTCTTCCTCTCTTCGGGGTCCAAAGAGATGGGCCCAATGGGCAAGATGAGGCCCTCATGTCGGCAACTCATGCTTTGGTGCGCTCTCTCTTAGGATTCGTGAGAAGTGAAGCGAGCTTGAGAAGATAGAGAAGTGAAGGGTGAAGGGCCCCTTGATCAATTCCAAATGGAATTCCAATCACGCCTGGATCCTCCCTCTTCCTACACATCGAGAGCCAGAAAAACACATCCAGCGACGCGGCGACAGATGAACACGGGCCCACAGATGTGGAGCTCGCGACGCGCGGAGCTGTTGACACCGATCCTTTGTGGGCCCAAAGGTAACTGAGACGAGAAAAAACGAAAACATGGGTGTGTATTTGAATAGGGAGACCACCTGGCCCAATGAGTAGATTGGTCTATTTTTCTTCTTCCAGGGGGTCGAACTGGAAGGTCTCCCTGTTTTAATACACAACCACATGTTGGGAGACAAACTCTGGTCCGCTGTTTTCGCTGACCACACTGGTCCCAACTCAGCATTGTCTTGGGCCTGTTGGGTCTATCATCCATGTCACATACGACTATCATGTAGAATTGATTTAAACACACATCAATTGGATTGAAAAACGTCTTCCTATGGAGCGTTCTATTACAGTAATCAAGTCTACATGACGCACTGCCTTGCAGTGATGCATCTCGGCTTGTGCTTAGCATCACTTAGCCAATTAGCTAAGATAGAGCATGTGCGAACATGTTTACAGTGTCATGAAACACCTAGAGCATCTGCAGCATCCTATAGAGCCTGGAGCTCGACAAGTGACATGTAGAACTTGGCCTGCAGCAAACAATCCCTCACCAATTGTAGGTCGTGGGACATGTCGGGCGACTTCTTCTCCGAGATCGCCGATTTCTGTGCGACTCCGAGTCCGACTGTATGCGACTGTCCACTCCCTGCAGTTTACCATGAACATCCATCAACACAAGTCAAAGTTTCTCAGATCTTTTGATTCATCTGGCATATCATATCTGAAATAATGTTCCTTTCTTTGGACGCCAAAGAGACACCATCCCCCCCGATGCACCTCTGCCTGAATGAGCTTCAAGTCGCTGGTTTTCCTGTCACAAAATGAGTCGCTGGTGCCCTGCTAGTCTGGTAACCAGCGTGTCTGCTTCAGCCTTAATCGGTCTCACATGGTCTCACTATCTGGAAGCCAACAGGAGCCAACGAGCGATTTTAATTCATGTGTCCTAAGGGCAAAATACTTCGCTAGTTTTGCCATCGCTACTAGGTTGGAGGCCATCGCTATTAGGTTCAAGGAATATGTTTTGTCTGTGAAGCGTTTGAGACCGCCGAGTCCAAAAGGCGGCTGTGGACCAGCCAGCCTCGACTAGAATTCGGCTGACTTCGGCGCACCGAGGAGACCTGATTCCTCTTTCTCGCCTGAAAAAGGGGTCTGTCAGAGGGCGCCATCGTGCAGAACATGCTGTCCTGAGGACTCCTGGACGCCGACCCCATGTGCAACCCTTTTAAAAGAATCCTCGGTGCCATGCCGGGTCAAGATGGGTTATGCTTTCTCAGCGGAGCTTCTCAGCACATCCAGGGAACAGCGCGAGAGAAATCGTTTTTCATGGTGTTGTTCCTCCCCTGAATCGAGACACTTGGAACCGCTCAAGTGAGGATCCGTCACAGGATCCATAAACACAAATGTGGGCCCGGTCTTCGGTTCAACGTTTGGTCTTCGGTTTGTCCAAAGACTTCCTCCACATGTCCGACATGTCCTCCGCCCTCTTCGTCGGTCGTCGGTCGCGCCTGGGCGTGCTGGTGCAATTGCTGCCGCTGGGCGCGCTCTGCAGGTGCCGTCCACGAGGCCATGGCATCGCCTGGCCGCGAACGAGTGCCGAAGAGGGGTGGAAAGATCCGTCCGGTGGGCTGGACAGCCGTGTGAGAACATGTAGTTGAACACCCCATAGAAAGCATAAGGAACACTAGTGTTGTGCTGTTTGGGAGACACCCTCTTGCTGGTGTATGAGGGATCTGTGGTGATGGTCCCACCCAGAAGACCAAGAAAAATACGGCCTCACTCGTGACGTGCATGGATAGACCAGTGAGGGCCGGATACAGACCTGCATGTTGCTACAGATCAACATGTTCAGCTTGAGATACGCCCAATGAATCTGAGAGATGGTTCAGGAGATCAGCAACGAAGCTGATGAAGCTGATGTTCTCGTCTTCTGAACATCGAAGCTGCGGCCTTGGGAGTATGTTGTGAGTTGTGAGTAGTCCTATGAGACGGTATCAGCGTATCAGACACCCTGAAGATCCAGTCCAGGGAGTGTGATACAAACAACAGGCAAAAAAAACGTATATATAGTCATATAGTGACTATAGTGGTTCCATAGTCTATTCCACGTGCTGAAACATCGTGTGAAAAACACGCAGATTCAAAGTACAGAAGCTCCATGAAATCATCGTCCTTCACAGTGGCGAACAGTACGCAGTATCTTTCATACATCCCACGATGGGGTCTGCAGTTCGCAAAATGCTTCGGATGTCTACTATGTAGTACTTTATAGTTACACAGCTGTTGCATGCAAAAAATGCTTCTTCTTCCTCGAATCTTACCAGAGCCCTGTCGGTCGCGCAGGCTACGCATGGCGTCGCTCCGTCGCCAGCAGTCGCCAGCCTCGACCTCTGGTAGATCGCCTTTCGCAGAACGCGGAATTGGAGACTTGCCGATGGGGCCTGGTTCTATACTGACCCCAACGAGGCGCCATACAGTTACACCATGTTACACAGGTTTTCCACGACCTCAAAACCTAAGACTGAGTATGAACTTTGCAACCCTTACAGCATGCGACCCTCATGGCGTCCAACGAACTCCCAAGTGGTGCCGCATTAGCCCAGTTCCGGGGTTGCCACACACCCAGATGGGCAGAGTCCAAGTGACAAATGAGAACTTTAAAGGATCCTGAGTTCTGAAATTTGCTTGCAATTGGAGCCCCCCACCCTGTTGTTCCAAGGCGCACTCACCAACCCTTTCGCAAGTCATTTCGCCCGATTTCGGGGCGCACCCTGCCTTCATCTTCCAATCGACGTGCCAATGATAAGTCCTGACCAGTCATCAGAGCCATCGGATCGATCCGCTGCCGTCATCCTCAGGTGGGATCGATCGAACCGCTTGGAATAGACGACCTACATATGGTCCACCGACCCATATTGGGGTTGAAAAAGAAAAGAAGCCGGATGCCATGACCCACGTGGCACTGGCGATGGTGTGCATCATCTTGCCGAACAGGAGGGATTTTTTTCTCGGCGTGGCCCTGAACAAGGACTTTGCTTTGCCGAAAATTTGCCTTCCGGATCCTTCCGGTGGTTTTTATTTAATGGAGTGATCCTCAAGATATTTGAGTCACTCTCACAGTCACACTTCTGTGATGGAAAAGGAATGTCCTCCCCTCATCTCCGTGGATGCTGTATTTCGTAAGTCCCCTAATGCCATATTAAGGTCAATGCTTTTCTGCGCATCTACAAAGGCAAGGGTCCTCAGCCGAGCTTCACAGTGCAATCCCCGGCACAGTTACCATCTTTGTCCATGCCCATGGTGGCTTTGGCAGTCACACGAATTGGGAGTGCGATCTCCCCGACGCCCCGATCTCCTGGCAGTTGCCGTTGTAGGCATCGAACAGCGCCTCGAGATCTCGGCGCAAAACTGAAGAACCACCATGGGGATGATGCGAAAACGACCCCCCGGCACCACACGCAAATGATTCTGAACGAAGTTCCATATTTTGTTATCCACACATCCCACAAGTCACAAGCAAAAAGGATATGGAAGGAGGAAGGATGTCTATAGAAAAGGAACAAGTTGCAGAACGGTTGCCATGTCCTCCAACCTCTACTAGGAACAAGAAGCAACTAGGACGCTACTAGAAGCGATGGCCTCCAACTCCACGTCCTCCATGTCCCCCATGTTCCCGACAGGTTCACCGGTCCTTCTTGATCACCAGGAGCCGCCCGCCGGTCTCTGCGCCATACCTGTGGATCCCAAACGGGATCAGACTTCATTTGGAAAAAGCACTCTGGACACCAAGATGGACTCCAAAAAAGACAAGATAAAACAAGGAAACACATCCTTCTTTTTCTTCTGAGGTCCGCGCGAGACATCAAAGGTCCAACAAAGAAGCAAATCGCGAGTGCGAGAATCACAGAGAGTTTGGTAGGGACATTTCATCGTTCGCCTCTACGAATGTGTGAAAAGCATCCTCTTGACCAAGTGGTGAATGAATTTCTTCCAGCCAGGAGTCACAAGATGGGGCGCCGAGCTTGGAGGATAGGGGTGCCCAGAACATCCACTCACTGGATGGGACCTAAAAACCACACCCCTTTGTGACCCCTTGGAGTGGCGTTCTTCTCTCCAACTCCCATGGCCCTCTCGCCGTTCGGCGCTTCGTTCGGCCTGAGCCGTAGCGTCAGGTCGCTGCCACGATAGACAAAGGGTCGGAACTGCCCCACCACCTCGCGCCGTGGACCACGAGTTCATTTTGAGTTCAAATGGAACAAACCTCATGTTGAACCCATCCTTAAGTGCTAAGGAACATCATCTCAATCCATTCCTATTCATGTCTGGTTCATGTCTGCTCCTGCTCTCACCCTCCTCCCCGACTGGTCAAAGGTCGACTGGCTCGACTGGC